ATTGCAGCCCTGGTCAGGGTCAATCCAGTACTCGCCTGAACAACAGTATTGAAAGGCATCAGAGAAATTCAAAGTTCATAGAAACTTGTTTTCTGGGTCTATTTTTCAAAGAGGAACATTACAAAAAGTGAGTTCTACCTAACAGAAAAAAAGGTACATCAGTAAAGACTAACCGCTCTTCCAGTCAGGGTGGCACATCTTGAGGTCTCTGCAGGTTCTGGCAGGGTTCTTTCTGGTTCCATCAGGGCTGCGGATCTGCTCAATCTGTTGACTAAGGCTCTTCAGGGTGGTGTCCACCTCCAGGTCGCGGTCACGGAGAACATTAGCATCATCAGCACGGAACATGCGGTAGGGATCAGGGGCTTTCTCCTGGGTAATGAAACCAATTTCAAATCCACCACCAGGGGCACCGGGAGGTCCTGGGGGTCCAGGAGGTCCAGGAGGACCCTAAGAGAAAAAGAAGATTTGGTTAGTCCCTTCCTGGCAAGTTATACTTTTGAAAAAAAGGATGAAGGAAAAAGACAAGTAGAGGAGGGATTAGCAGGACTTACAGCAGGTCCCATCTCTCCATTACGTCCACGAGGTCCAGGAGGTCCAGTGGGTCCAGGAAGACCAGACATGCCATCCTTACCAGGAGAACCAGCAGATCCGGCAGGGCCCTGCAAAAAGCGTGAAACAATATCTAATTTAAAAATAACCAATTTTTGTAAAGTTACAGTTATAAGGGTATAACAGTACAGTTATAAGGGTATAACAGTTATAACCTGTTAAGGACTGCTGAATGGTAACTTACTCTAGGGCCAGCAGGGCCAGCAGCACCAGCAGGTCCAGCCTCTCCAGATGGTCCCTAAAAATATAAGGTTAGTAAGAAAATAATGTGACCTAGAGGTTGATTTGTTGTTGAACACCATTAGGAGCCAGTGAAGAATGAAAATGTTAGTCTATACAGGCGGAACAGGAAAGTTACATACAGGAGGTCCAGGAGGTCCCTGTTGACCAGTAAAACCTCTGTGTCCCTTCATGCCTCTCTCTCCAGCCTCTCCAGTTTCTCCCTTGTCTCCACGAGCTCCAGCAGGTCCCTGTCAGGATAAACAATCTATCTCACTTTTTTCTTTATACTCTTCAATTATTTATTATGGTGTAAATGTTTCTTACGGCGGGGCCACGAGGTCCAGCAGGGCCAGCAGCACCAGCAGGGCCAGCAGGTCCCTGAAACACAGAAACTTAAGTTTAACTGTTGGCATACTGCAAAACATGCTAAATGTATAGTTTACAATATAAAGTCACTGAACCAATGAATAAATATGGTGCAGATTGTACTTACAGTCTCTCCGCGGTCACCAGTCTTTCCAGCTGGTCCAACAGGTCCAGGGGCACCAGGAGGTCCTGGGGCACCAGGGGCTCCGGCAGGGCCACTCTCTCCACGGTCTCCCTGTAGAATGAACAGAAAATGAAGTAACTTGGTCCTTTTTGAGGGCCAAAACTGATCATGTGTTACTTAGGACATCATTTCTCAAACATTTAAGTACTACTGCTGGAAACAACAGAAACTTGGATATGACTAAAGGGGTTTCTAGTTATTGTTATTTTGATTGTTTTTACCAGTTGGCGATATTGCTCAAAAAGAGCAAAAAGATAGGAGGCTAAGAAAAGTCTGTTGTAGCCAGTGGCTACAGACTTATATGTTCAACTGACAGTACTGTTCTAAATTTGGATTAAATAAGACGGTGCTTTTTTAGTAGAACTAGGCTGATATGAGATAAATTTGCACTTTATATGAATTGGGTCATATGTGCCATAAACTGACCTTGGGTCCAGGGGCTCCATCACGACCAGATGGTCCTTCTCCTCCGGGGGTTCCCTATGATGCAAAAGCAGTGATTCATATATCATCAGAACACTTTTACTCATGTATGTGTGGAAAAAAATGACATAGATCTACAGTGATCTTGGGGCTTCATCATACCTCACGCCCAGGCTCTCCAGGGGGACCAGCAAGACCAGGAGGTCCCATGGGTCCAGGAGGTCCACGTTCACCACCAGGGCCAGCGGGTCCTGGCTTTCCAACCTCTCCCTAATATAATAAAAAAAAGCATATTACCATTTGTCTCCTTTATGACACTTAAATAGTAGGATATTAGATATGTATTGTGCTTGTTACATACAGAAAACATTTAAATTTTGGGTGGGGGTTGCTGATCACTAAAACATTCAGAGGTTAGAATAAAGGTACTTTAGCTATCTTTATGCAGTTACCTGAATAGGTTAGCTTAGATTTTTTAGTTTCTCTGCTAAATTGGTAATATTTCCGAGGCCGGGATATTACAGGCAAGATTGATATTAACTCACAGCAAGCCCAGCGGGTCCAGGGAAACCTCTTTCTCCTCTCTGTCCTGGCAGACCGACAATACCACGCTGTCCAGCAATACCTTGGGGTCCTGGGATACCAGGAGCTCCCTAAAGGATATGGAAAGAAAAAAAATAGAGATGAAGTTTAAAAACCAGAAAAATCAACAGTATATAAATCATATTAATATGCAGTTAAACAAATGAAGATAAGATTTTGTCATTTAGATATATTATTTTTCAGTCAGATATATTTGCGGGTTCTTTTGAAAGCCTGTTATGGAGAAGCTTACGTACCGCCGGACCCTCTGAACCAGCACTACCCTTCTCTCCGGGGGGTCCTGCTGGTCCAGCAGCACCAATCTCTCCAGGGCGACCAGCAGGTCCAGTCTCACCACGGTTTCCTTTGGGTCCTTCCTTGCCAGATGGTCCGGGAGGTCCAGGAGGTCCAGAGTTCCCCTACATTATAGAGATGAGGTTGATTCTGTCAGTGCTGAAATACCTGTACTCTTTAGTTCCAGGAGCACAAAGGGAAATAAAAAGCCTTACAGCAGGGCCAGGAGGTCCAACTCTGCCAGCAGCTCCAGGGAAACCAGTAGCACCCTAAGAACCAGAATTATTTGTTATATGACTTTGGGAAAAGCTTTTGTAAGTCAATGCAAACAAAATATGTAACTAAAACTAACGTGAGATCAACAGGGATACAGAGTAAAATAAGAGTAGTGACTCACTGGAGGACCAGCTGCTCCACGGGCTCCCTTAGGACCAGTGTTTCCAACGGGACCCTGGGAAGATATGACACAACCAGAATCAAAACTGTACAAATGTTTGTAGTTAATTACTACAAAACCAAAAATGTTATTAGATTACCTGAGGTCCAGGAGCACCAGTTGGTCCAGCAGGGCCTGGAGGACCAGCATCTCCCTTAGCGCCATTATCTCCAGGCTCACCCTTAGCACCAGGTTGTCCATCAGCACCCTGCAGTTAAATGGTGGTTATTACACCAAAAATAAGTGATTGGAATGTGTCAATGCTGAAAGAAAGAAAGAAAGAAAGAAAGAAAGAAAGAAAGAAAGAAAGAAAGAAAGAAAGAAAGAAAGAA